TGGGGGTCGGTGCCGGGCACAGGGGCAGCCTGAGCGAGCGGGGCGGGAGGGGCCGCGGGGACCTTGCCGGGCAGCCCAGGTCGTCGGTCCCCGGCTCCGCGGGCTCCATCGTGACCGCCCTCGGGAGGGCCCCACAGTGGGGACGGTGTCTGGACGCGGTGACGCCACCCGTCCCCGGAAGGGAGCCGCGCCCAAGGTAGGGGTGTCCCAGACGCGTCGGAACCCGGGAGCGCTGCCCGCTCGGGGCCCGCTCGTCCGGACGTCCCGACAGGGAGCCGCGGTCAGCCGCGACAGCCGGCAGCGGGTCCCGCCGCGCAGTGCGTGCTTCTCGTTGGCGCACGGCCACTGCGACGGGGCGACCGCTACGAGTTGGCCACCAGGGCGGTCAGCGTTGCTTCCAGTTGTTAGTGGTGCAGTTAACCAAGAAGGAACATCCCGTTAATGTTGGCTCCTCGGACGCGACAGGATTAAGGTTCTGACCCCGCCGCTGCTGCAGACCAGTTACGTAATCCTGAAGGAGTCACTAATCTCTGGATTTGGGTCCCAACCCTGAACTGTAATGACGCTATGGGACGTAGAAGGGGCAGAGTTTTCAAAAGCTCACAGTAGAGACACTCAAGGGAAAACTGCAGAGTGTAGATAGCTAGCTGCGACTGTTACAGAGTTTTTAGTGTGATGTAAACTCTGTTCTGCCCGGGGATAGGCGTTTTGAAAGTAGAAGATTCTGGAAGGGATCTACAGCATTTTAAATACCTTGTACCATTTCTGCAGTCTACACTGTCCTGATGAAACACTGGACAGGAGCTTCTTTCGTGCACCTTGAGGCCAGAAGTGGAAGCAAGCACTACCATCTAGTTTCTCAAAGCAGCTTCGCCGTCACTGAGCCCTGGAGACCTCACAGCTCTGTTTCCACATCCCCACTTCTACCTTCCAGCACTAGTATAATGCAGGTGTTGATCCTTAGATACATATTTTGGATTAATTCCTTTCTAGTCTTAAAATTAGGCCCCATTTCCTAGATTAATAACTTACTGTTTCTCCCCATTCTGTGTATTTTGGACCCTGTCTTCAGAAACTGTACCCTTGCCTAAAAACTGAAAGGACCAATTTCAAATTCTTCCACCAGTTTCAAATGGAATTGAAGCAAAATAACCATTTACAGAGTATCTTCTGCATGAAAGGGCCCATTCGGATACTTTACAAAGGTGATCTCATAAACGTAACCCTGCAGGGAGCGTAACTGCACCTGTTTCAAGGTGAGGCAGCTGGAAGTCAGACAGCATGTCGCAGCACATAGCTGGACCAAGACTGGAAGCCAGGCTTGCCCCTGACATTCTGTCCCTCTGTGTTCTGGACAGACTGCAGGCAGCCAGTACGCCCCGTGCATCCCAGTATATTCATTGCTCCCCTTCCCTCCTAAATAATAACCGTATGCCGAGTTCCTGAGTGCCTTTGTCCTCTGGTAACTGTAGTGTGGTTTGTTCACTTCCCTCTTCTCTGTCCTGCAAATCCCGGTTTAAATGTTCTCTCTTTAAGAGATATTTCACTTACTGGTCTGCCCGGGTGGCTCAGTCGGTTCAGCGTCTGCCTTCGACTCAGGTCATGATCTCAGGGTCCTGGGATGGAGTCTTGCATTGGGCTCCTTGCTCAGCAAGGAGTCTGCTTCTCCCTCTCCCTCTGTGCACGCTCTCTCTCTCAAATAAATAAAACCTTAAAAAAAAAAAAAAGTATTTCACTTACTATTCTCTGATCTTTTCAGTCTCAAATTTTGTTGTACTTATGTATAATATTATATTGAGTGATGGACTGTTCTCATTCAAATTCATATGCTCCCTCCAGCCAGCTGGAGATTTGAGGGCAGAGCCCCATCAGTCATGACTGGCTTGAATCCCGCCAGAATCACAGTGCGTAGCTTAGTGCTGTGCTCTGGCAGGCATTCCCATATCAGACTCTCAAACATACCTTCCCTCTAGACTTTATAAGAGATGTTTACATACACTCTAACTTTGACTTTCTGTTGATTATGTTTTTACAGTGGAAGAATTAAAGGAATGTGATATGATGATATAACTTGATATACCCAAGTAGCAGGTTTGCCTGACTCAGCATGTCAAAAAACAAGGTACAGAATCTTGTTTTAAAACAAATACAGTTTTAAATGAAATCTTGCCATCTGCAATGACGTGGATGGAACTGGAGGGGATTATGCTAAGCGAAATGAGTCAATCAGAGAAAGTCAGTTATATGATTTCACTCATATGTGGAATTTAAGAAACAAAACAGGATCAAAGAGGAAGGGATGGAAAAATAAAACAAGACGAAATCAGAGAGGGAGACAAACCGTAAGAGACTCTTAATCGTAATAAATAAACAGGTTTGCTGGTGGGGAGGGGGGTGGGGTAACTGGGTGATGGACATTAAGGAGGCACATGATGTAACAAGCACTGGGTATTCTATAAGACTGATGAATCACTGACCTCTGCCTCTGAAACTAATAATACATTATGTGCTAATTAATTGAATTTAAATTTAAGATTTTTTAAAAAATAAAACACTGTTTTACTCATGACTATAATTTAATCCAGCTGTTTGAAAGCATAAAAATATGGTTGCACATCTCGCTCCAATGAGGAACTGCCACAGTACCGACTGCAAGCACGTCATACATGCCCAGCAGTTTTGTTCCGCGTTGTTTTCTCCAAAAAAGCACATACTTAAATGCAAGATTCCCTTTCATATTACAGAAGCAAGATTCTGCCTAGAGTCTAATTTAATTGTAGTGAAACAGAATGTGTTCAGGCATGCACAGCTTTTATAGGTCATAATGAATTAATTCATATTATATTTAAGACCTCAGTAATTAAATGAAAAGATAGTACTATGTCACCAACATAAATGATGAGACTGGGCTTTCCCGCACTTATGTAACGTGGGCCAAGCATTATTCACTATTAGATTTGATCTAGTATGCCACCCGGATTGAGTATTAAAGCCTAAGTTTTCTTCCAAATGATACATTACATAATGTTCCATAGATAAGGTTTTTTTCCTACTTTTTAGGGTCATTCATCTAAACAAGGTAACTTAGCAGTCACTGCAGTTGCTTTACAAGATCACATTTTACATGATCTTCAACTTCGAAATCTTTCAATAGCAGATCATTCTAAGACAAAGGTACAAAAGAGAGAGAACAGATCCAAATCTCTAAAAAGAAATACAAAAGCAGTAATAGATACTGGACTTAAAAAAACTATACAAGGCCCTAAAGTGGAAGATCCAGAAAAAGAATATGTTCTTGATCCAAAACCACCACCATTAACTTTAGGTAAGTTAATCTTGTCATTCATTTTTTGGCTTATTAGAGCTAAGGAATCTAGTTGAGATTCATAGTATAATTTTTTCTGGAACAGAAATGATTCTAATTTATAATCTTACAGAAAGAATGTATGTACTAAAGTTTAAAAATGATGATGAGGACAATACAAGCAAGAAAACAAAGATAGTACTACATAGAATAAATAAAAATAGTAGAATACAATCAATATCCACTAATCCACATGGGCGGAAATCAACCAGTCAGTCAGTAATGGAAAAGAAAAAGCTCTTTCTTACAGTAGAATGACAACTAATAAATATATAGACAGGGGCCAGAAATAGAAAATCACCATCCGGCCAACAGCACAGTAAGAACAAGCATCGGTAGATGCTGAGACGCACGGTGTGGACACGGCCTCACAGCGTGCCCACAAACCACAGAGGGAAGCAGGAAGCCCAGCCGCCCCCTGTTGATGACCCTGGGCCAGGAGCACCCTGACCACGTGACCCAAGTGCCATCACCAAAGGGGTACACGCCGACATGGCCCCCATCCCATGCTCTGAGAAAGGCGCAGCATCCCCTCCAGGGTATTCTTGCCAAAATGCATCTCTGAATTTAATCACGAGGAAACATCAGACCCACCCAAATTGACGGACAGTCTACACACTTCCTGGCCAGTACTCTTCAAAAGTGTCAAGAAAAGCAAATGAAGAGAGAGAAGCTGTCCCAGATAATAAGACACGAAGGGGACATGACAACTGAGTGTTATGTGTAATCGGTCCAAAAAAAGGACTTCAGTGACACAAGAATGAAACCCAGTAAGGAATACAGATTAATTGGCAGTATTCGATCAACGTTAATTTCTCGTTTTGATCATTGAACTAGGGTTATGAAAAAATTAACATTTGGGAAAACTGGGTAAAAGGCACATGAGGATTCTTTATACTGGCTTTACAACCTTTTGCAAGTCCCACATTATTTTAAACTGTAAATTTAGAAATAGAAAAGATTTTTAAATGATGCTGGGCATGGAAACTAGGTTTGTCTGGGGGCGTTGTGCCCTCGCGCAAGTGTGCTGGATGGAGGAGGTGCAGGGAAGCCTGCGGACTCAGCTGCATGGTATAGGGGGAGCCTGCTGCTACAGCAAGGCCAGGGGACACTCATTACTTCATTACTGCAGACAGTGATACTTGTATTCTAGGAAATGGCATAGCTCAAGAATGTGCAGAGGCTTGGAATGATGTTATACAGTCAGGTAGTGAATATCTTGTACATATATAATTTATGGAGATGATCAACTAGATCATCATAGTAAGTTTAGCAGGAAAGGTTTAAATTAGACATCAGGAAGGACTTCCCAATTTGTAAAATAAGTAAGGTTAAAAAGGAGAGTAAATGAATTATTCTTCCAGTAGCTCTTTATAAAAAAGAAATTTTTTACTATTATATATATTAGTTACCAATATGTGTTGAACCATATGCTCTTCATTATTATCTATACATCATATTGCACTTGGGTCTCTTCTTGCTGATTTTCTCGAGTTTTTTATGTACTCTACATATTAATTGATGTAGCCACTGAGAAGATCTCTCAGTCTGGCACCATCTTTTAATTTTATGTTATTTTATATTGAATAAAATGTTCATTCTGATTACTGTTAAATCCATCAGTTTTTCTCTTTATTGTTTATGCTTTGGGTGATTTAAGAAATCCTTAGCCATTCTGAGATCACAAAGATTTTCCCACATTTTCTTTATTTACCTTTACATTTTTGCCTTTCACATTTAGACCTCATCTAAATTTGCATACAGCATTGGCAAAATCAGTTGATATAAAAACTTACATTAGATTCTTCCCTCAAACCACTATCTACCTATCTTTTGCCTTTGCCAAGTTTTCCATGCTCATACAAGAGAGGGAGAAAGAGAGAGTCAGGATGTATGATTTGGGGTATGATCTGTTACTATGTCAGGATTTTACTGTTTTAATTCAAAATAGTTTTGTAATATGTCTTAATAACTGGCAGGAAAAGACCCAAAATTCATTCCCCCAAATCTCAGAAGTATATTCTTTCCACCCACTAAAATACAGTGGTGATCTTCTGATTTTATCTTTGTGGAGACATTCCTTCTGAAACCTTCCATTACTCTGCTCCCATATGCACCAGTTGTTCTGTGGGGCTGGTGCAGAGCCGTCAGCCTGGGATGTCTTCTCGGCATCACCTGTGGGCTGATTCCCTTTGGTTCTCTTGCACTGGATCCTCTCTCTGATGGCACAGCTTCTCCTTCTTAGTGTATACCCTCACTGGGGTGAAGTTGCTCCTCCAGCAGCTTCCGGGGAAAGAGTGCACAAGAGACCAGTGTACAAGCTTAGAGACACAAAGATGTCTTTATTCTCTTATGGTCCATTGTTTGCTAATGAAGAATTTCCATATGGGAGTCTTTCTCAGAGTTTTGAAAGGTTTGCCTTCTCATGTCTGTGTTGTTGGAGGTAAGTCTGATGTATTTCTGACTCCTGACCCTTTTTGAGACTTGTCTCTCTTTCTGTCTCTCTCACAAAACTTTGAGATCTGCTTTTTGTGCCTACACCTGTGACGTCTCATAGTGGCGGGATTTGGTGTGAATCCTTTGTTCTGGGCCCTCCTGGGGCCTCTCAAACTAGAAACTCACATCCTCTTCTAGGAAATGTTTTAGGCTATTTTAAGATCTTTACTCTTGATTTTCTGTTTTCTTTATGGAATGTCTGTCTTTCAGATGTCAGGCCTCCTAGACTGGTCCTTTAGTTTTCTTATCGTCAGTCTCCTGCTTTATCTCATCTTCCTACTTTCTATGGGATTACTGTAACTTCCTCTTCCAGTCTTTGAGTTGACTTTCACATTTCTACTGTAAGATTTTTGATTTTTAAGAGCTCTTTTTTGTACTCTTTTTTTTTAATGTTCCTGGTACAGCTTCCTGTTCTTGTTTTGTACACATAACACTTCACTTTCTATCCAAAGAAAGCCCACAGAGTGGCACTTTACCCATTCCCTCATTTGGAGGTGGCATGGGGGTGGACACTGGTGCTCAAGCCCCTGTCAGCACTGTGCCCCAGCTGCAGCAGCTCCCACAGGGACGTGAGCTCCATGTTTGATCCCCAGGGACACATGGTGGGCTCTCAAATATTGCTGAGATTGATCCTGATAATAATTATAAGTCCTAAGAATTTTTAGCAAGGGAAGAACCTGATTGATACGCATTCTGTGAAGGTCACTGGTGGCAAAAAAAAAAAGAAAGAAAAAGAGCTAAACTGGAAGAAGACAACACTGAAGACTGAAAGATAAATTAGGTGAAAAGTAAGAACCTTTGGCCAATACATGTGAAAACCTAGTATTCTTCAACTTTTCTTCCTGAAAATTGGATAGCAGTCCTGCCTACTATAGAGAATATCGTGAACATGAAATAGGGGAAGGCAATTCTTCATAAATAAAAGCATAAAACACAAATGGAAGGTATTATTACCATTGACTTCTATGCACCATGGAAGAGCAGTATTCCACATATGGTGGAAGTACGTGGTATGTTTTGCTTTCAAATTTGTTTACAAAATAATGTCATTAAACTATATATGAGTACTATATCCTAAATATATTGCAACTTCTATTTCATATTGTTTTAACTTTAGCACAGAAGCTGGGCTTGTTTGAACCTCCCCCACCACCACTATCCTCAGATGAATGGGAAAATGTGAAACAAAGATCCGTCCTGCAAGGGGACTCTGTGCAGCCATGCCCAATATGCAAAGAAGAATTTGAACTTCGCCCCCAGGTGTGTAGCCTGAAGATCAGATAAGCAGGCTTGGGGACTAGACCGAGCTGGAGCCTAAGATCCCAGGCTTCGTTTTTCTAGTTTCTTCCGCCTACGTGACCTCAAATACTTTTATAGTTTCTTTTCCATTAATTAAAGTGTGTGTGTGAGAAAGAGCTAAACACCCTCATTAAACAGTTTTGTTTATTTACTGAATGATATTCTCAAGTACAAAGTTCATACAAAAGGAATGCTCCCATTCCACTGGCTGGAAATAGCTGAGGAGCGACTGGAGACCTGCTAGGAGGAGCCCAGCGCAGGAAGAATGAAAGCAAATGGAAATTTTAAGTGTTTTATGAATTGAAATCATAAAAGAAAAGAAAAACTAGGGTTGAATATCTCCAAAGAATTTATATAAGAATCCTTAAGTAAAATCTTTTAATAATCTTTAATCATGAAACTTTATCACATAAGGTTGATGACATGCAGTCAATCTGGGTCATAGGTTTTTCTGTACTATGTCTAATCTACTGTAATCTTGTGGCGGTTAGGGACGCTTCCACCGCTAGAATTTTGCGTTTTGTTCTAAGCTAGTGGCCACTGTACAACAGTTTCCCACGTGTGCGGCATTGTGCTTCCTACAGAGCAAGCACTCGGACATTTGCTGGAAAAATACAGCAAATAGAGTCAAAGCAGGCCTAAAATTCATAGCCTGGGAACCTCGGGCTTTACTCGCTACCTGGCACTTAACTCTCAAACTTAATTTGTTTTAATGAGTTTCATCATTAACAAGTTAGTTCACAGTCATAAAACGTTTGTTCTTCACTAATTTGAATTCACAAGTTATTTTAAACACACTTATTGTATTCCAGTTCTCTATCAAGACCTAATCTTATGCATATGAAAGCTGGGTATCTTAGAAAAAATTTAGCCCTTAAACCACAGAATTATCATCTAGGATAATTTAGTATTTTAGTGTAGCAAGAGTTAATAGAACCACAAGGAGTCTTTCTGGCCCCAGCAACCTCTTCTTTAATTATGCTATAAATATTTAGCCTGTTGTATGAAGAATGAAAACTTACACTGCATATCTTAAGTGGGGCAGCAGGGGAATCAGGATGCATCATGCCCACCATTTCTTCCCTTCTGTTTTTTATAAATTTCTCACTAAATTCTTATTTTTGTTTGGTTAATAGATATAGATGCTTGTGTTTACTTTGCATTTTTAGTTATTGTCCTCGTGTTTAGGTTTTTCCTTCGTTAAACACAGTAGTTGGCATTTCCCCAGCATTTAATTATTTCAGAGGACTTCAGTTATTCTTGTGCATCGCTGACGGACGCATTATACCCATTTAACAGATGAGGAAATAAATCAGTTGATCCGCAGCAGGATGACTCAGGAAGTGTTCTCAAGGTCAGCTGGAGTCTAATCCCAACTTCTAGGACATTTTTAGTGTATTTACCACCACTTAATCATTTATTTTTATCTCAGAGAATGTTTTCCAATAACAAACATTTATGGACATTTAAAAGTATAATATTTTAAATATATGGAAGGACAGTGTTATTCAATACAGATCATCAAACATCTGTTGATAAAACATTCAAAGATTATTCTATAATGCATGAGGAGTTAAGATGGAGGAAGAGGAGGGGGACCCTAAGATTACCTTGTCCCTCGAACACAGCTAGATAATTATCAAATCATTCTGAACACCCAAGAAATTAATCTGAGGACTGAGGGAACAAAACCACACGTCTGTAAGTAGGGCAACCACCTTTTGGAGGGTAGGAAGTGCAGAGAGTTGATCTGGGAGAGATACAACGGTGGGTACTGCGGCGGGAAAGGAGCCCTGTTTACGAGACTACCGCAAGGTATTACACACAGCAGAGTGCAAAATCTCAAGTTTTAGGAGTCTGCCACCGCCGGGGTCATGCCTGGCTGAAACGTGCTCGGGTGGTAAGCAGGGTGGACCCAGGAGTGGTTAGGGTGGTCTGAGGATCAGACCTGGGTGCAAGAGGAACGGGTGGCATCAACATGCTTCACTCTTTCCAGGCGTAGGAGCTGGGGCTCCGCCCGCAGGCGATGCGCCTGGGCGCCAGCTCTCTGATCCACTTTGCCATAAACTCTGAACTGCTCTGTGGTCCTGCAACCACTCTCCTGGCGTGGTCCAGGCAAATGGCAAAAGCAAGAGAGACCCTCCCCCAGAGGAACAGTGTGGGTCCAAGCCACAGGAGTCCCTAAAATTTGTGGAGTTGTAAAACCCAGTCCCGCCTGGGATAAAAAAGCTCAGACACAGGCGGGCTGAAGGCAGGGATCTGAGGGAAGCTGGGAACACAGGAGGGGTGACTGATTGCCCTTCTGTGAGGGCTCACTGAAGAGTGAGGGGGAGCCAGGAACTTCAAGCTCCAGGGCTAGAGAGCAGGGCGCCGCCATATTCATCCTACCCAGGGAGCAAAACCGCGCCACCTAGTGGAGACTAGCGCTGCTTACACGAAGCCCCGCCCCCCTGCGCCCTGCAGGTGCTTTTCCACGGGAGCCTTCCACCTGAGAAGAGCGCAACAAGCCCCTCGCCCAGAAGGCCCGCACAAACATCTTGCAGGTAGCAAGTCTACTGATCACAGAGTACTGCAAAGCTTAATAAAGCTCTAAGGAAAACAGGATTTAGCTTCCTTTTTTTTTTTTCTCTTATTTTTCAATTCTTTATTTTTTTAATTTTTATGTATATATTTTATATATAGATTTTTTTTTTTTTTAGGTCTAGCTTCTTTTAACAAGTAGACCAAAACACACGCAGGATCTAGTTGTGTTTTTCTTTTTTTCTGCACAAAATGGTAAGATGGAGGAATTCACCCCAAAAGAAAGAACAGGAGGTAGAATTGATGGCCAGTGATTTTTTTCTTCAAATTTTTATTTAAATTCTAGTTAGTTAACATACAGTGAAATACTGGTTTCAGGAGTAGAATTCAGTGATTCATCACTTACATATAACACCCAGTGTTCAGTATGACAAGAGCCCCCCTTAATGCCCATCACCCATTTAGCCCATCCCCCACCCACATCCCTCCATCAACCCTCACTTTGTGCTCTATCTTTAAAAGTCTCTTGTGGTTTGTTTCCCTCTCTCTTTTTATCCTTCCCCCTCCCATATGTTCACCTGTATTGTTTCTTAAATTCCACATATGAGTGAAATCATATGGTATTTGTCTTTCTCTGACTTTTTTCACTTTGTGTAGTACATTCTAACTCCATCCATGTCATGGCGAATGGCAAGACTTCATTCTTTTTGATGGCTGAGTAATATTCCTTCGTGTATATATACCACATCTTCTTTATCCATTCATCAGTCAATGGATATTTTGGGCTCTTCCCATAGTTTGGCTATTGTTGATAGTATGGCCAGGGATTTATTCAATACAGATACATAAGTAAGATGTCTAAACTATAATTTAAAAAAACAATTATAAGGATACTAGTTGGGCTTGAAAAAAGCATAGAAGACTCTAGAGAATCCCTTACTGCAGAGAGAAAGAACTAAAATCTAGTCAGGATGAAATGTAAAATGCTATAACTGAGAGGTAAACCCAAATGGATGCCATAAAATGAGGATGGATGAAGTAGAGGAACAAATCAGTGATATAGAAGATAAAATTATGGAAAATAAGCTGAAAAGAAAGGTAATGGATCACCAAGGTAGACTTAAGGAACTTAGAGACTTATTAAAATGCAAAAACATTCATATTATAGGAGACCCAGAACGATGAAGAGAGAGATAAAGGGGCAGAAGGTTTATTTGAACAAATTATAGATGAAAACTTCCCTAATCTGGGGAAGGACACAGACATCAAAATCCAAGAAGCACAGAGAACTCCCATCAAATTCAACAAAAGCCGGCCATCACCAAGGCATATCATAGTCAAAATCACAAAATACACAGACAAGGAAACAATCCTGAAGGCAGCAAGGGGGAAAAAGTCCTTAACCTGTAAGGGACAACAGATCAGGTTCGCAGCACATCTGTCCACAGAAACTTGGCAGGCCAGAAAGGAGTGGAAAAAAATACTCAACATGCTGAATGGGAAAAATATGCAGCCAAGATACTCTATCCAGCAAGGCTCTCATTCAAAATGGAAGGAGAGACAAAGAATTTCCTGAACAAAAACTAAAGGAATTCGTGACCACTTGACCAGCCCTGCAAGAAATATTAAGGGGGACTCTTTGAGTGGGGGGAAAAAAGACCAGAGAATGTCACCAGAAACACCAACTCTACAGGTAACACAATGGCAATAAATTCCTATCTTTCAATAATCACTCTGAATGTAAATGGACTAAATACTCCAATCAAAAGCTACAGGGTATCAAAACGGATAAAAAAAACAAGATCCATCTATATGCTGCCTATAAGAGACTCATTTTAGACCTGCAGTTTAAAAGTGAGGGGATAGAGAATCATCTATCATGCTAATGGATATCAAAAGAAAACCAGAGTAGCCATACTTATATCAGACAAAGTAATGTATTTATTTATTCATTCAATCATTCATTCACTTATTTATTTATTTGAGACAGAGAGAGTGTGTGTGCACAAGCAAGGGGATGAGGGGCCAGGGGGAGAGGGAAAAGCAGACTCCTTGCTGAGCAGGGAGCCTGACTTGGGGCTCAATCCCAGGACCCTGAGATCATGAACCAAAGGCAGATGTTTCACTGACTAAGCCACCCCAGACAAACTAAATTTTAAAACGAAGACCATAACAAGAGATGAAGAAGAGCATTATATCATAATTAAGGGGTCTACCCATCAAGATCTAACAATGGTAAATATTTATGCCCCCAACTTAGGAGCACCCAAATATATAAATCAGATAATAATAAACATAAAGAGGGGCACCTGCATGGCTCAGTTGGTTAGGCATCCGACTCTTGATTTCAGTTCAGGTCATGATCTCAGGATCGTGAGATCGAGTCCCATGTCAGGCTCCATGCCAAACCTGCTTAGGATTCTCTCTCTCCCTCTCCCTCTGCCCCTCTCTGCCCCACTCGTACACACTCTCTCGAAAATAATAATAATAATAATAAACACAAAGAAACTCATTGATAATAATACAATAGTAGGCAACTTTAACACCCCACTTACAGCAAGGGACAGATCATCTAAGCAGAAAAACCACAAGGAAACAATGGCTTTGAGTGACACACTAGATCAGATGGACTTAAAAGATATATTCAGAACATTTCATCATAAAGCAGCAGAATACACATTCTTTTCAAGTGCACATGGAACATTCTCCAGAATAGATCACATACTAGGTCACAAATCAGCCCTCAACAAGTACAAAAAGATCGAGATCATACCATGCATATTTTCAGACCACAACACTATGAAACTTGAAGTCAACCACAAGAAAAAATTTGGAAAGACCACAAATACATGGAGGCTAAAGAGCATCCCACTGAAGAATGAATGAGTTAACCAGGAAATTAAAGAAATTTAAAAAGTACATAGAAGCAAATGAAAATGAAAACACTACAGTCCAAAACCTTTGGATACAGCAAAGGCAGTCCTAAGAGGGAGGTATATTGCAATACAGGTCTACCTCAAGAAGCAAGAATTATTGGCACTTTATCAAGATAAAAAGCTTCTTTCTACACAGTGAAGGAAAAATCAACAAAACTAAAAGTCTACAGAATGGGAGAAGATATTTGCAAACAATATATGGGATAAAGGGTTAAGTATCCAAAATCTATGAAGAACTTAGCAAACTTAACACCCAAAAACCAAATAATCCAGTCAAGAAATGGGCAGAAGACATGAACAGACATTTCTCCAAAGAAGACATACAAATGGCCAACAGACACATGAAAAAATGCTCCACATCACTCAGCATCAGGGAAACAAATCAAAACCACAATGAGATACCACCTCACACCTGTCAGAATGGCTAAAATTAACATAAGAAACAACAGGTGTTAGAGATGATGTGGAGAAAGGGGAACCCTCTTGCCCTGTTGGTGGGAATGCAAACTGGTGCAGCCACTCTGGAAAACAGTATGGAGGTTCCTCAGAAGAGTTAAAAATAGAACTACCCTATGACCCAACAATTGCACTACTAGGTATTTATCCGAAGGATACAAAAATACAGATTTGAAGGGGTACATGCACCCCAATGTTTATAGCAGCATTATCAACAATAGCCAAACTATGGAGAGAGCCCAAATGCCCATCAACTAATGAATGGATAAAGAAAATGTACACACACACACACACACACAGAATATTACTCAGTTATCAAAAAGAATGAAATCTTGCCATTCACAATGACGTGGATGGAGCTAGAATGTATTATGCTAGTGAGTAAGTCAGAGAAAGACAAATACCATATGATCTCACTTATATGTGGACTTTAAGAAAGAAAACAGATGAACATATGGGAAGGGGAGTAAGGGAGAGAGGGAAATAAACCATAAGAGATTCTTAACAACAGAGAACAAACTGAGGGATGATGGAGGGAGGTGAGTAGGGGGATGGGATAGATGGATGAAGGGTATTAAGGAGGGCACTTTTTGTGATGAGCACTGGGTGTTGTATGTAATGATAAATCACTGAATATAGCACTGTAAACTAAGTAAAATTTAAATTAAAAAAAAAAGAAAGAAAAATCTCAAATACACAACCTAACCCTACACCTAAAGGAGCTAAAAAAGGAACAGCAAATAAAGCCTATAACCAGCAGAAGAAGGGAAAAAATAAAGATCAGAGCAGAAATAAATGATTTAGAAACAAACAATCAGCAGGTCAATGAAACTAAGAGCTGGTTTTTGAAAGAATTAATAAAACTAACCCCCACCCAGCCAGACTTATCAAAAAGAAAGAGAAAGGTCCCAAATAAACAAAATCATGAGTGAAAGAGGAGAGATCACAACCAACACCACAGAAATACAAATAATCCTAAGAGAATATTATGAAAAATTATATGCCAAAAAACTGGGCAATCTGAAAGAAATGAACAAATCCCTAGAAACCTACAAACTACCAAAACTGAAACAGGAAGAAATAGAAAATTTAAACAGACTCATAACCAGCAAATAATTGAATCAATAGTCAAAAATCTCCCAACAAACAAAAGTCCAGGGCCAGATGGCTTCCCAGGGGAATTCTACCAAACATTTAAAGAAGAATTAATACCTGTTCTTCTCAAATTGTTCCAAAAAATAGAAATGGAAGGAAAACTTCCAAACTCATTCTATGAGGCCAGCATTACCTTGATTCTAAAATCAAAGACCCCATCAAAAAAGGAGAATTACAGGCCAATATCCCTGATGAACATGGATGCAAAAATTCTCAACAAGATACTAGCAAATCAGATCCAATAGTACATTAAAAGGATTATTCCACCACAATCAAGTGGTATTTATTCCTGGGCTTCAGGGCTGGTTCTATATAGGCAAATCATTCAACATGATCACCACATTAATAAAAGAAAGGATAGGAACCATATGATACTCTCAATAGATGCAGAAAGAGCATTTGACAAAATACAGCATCAATTCTTGATAAAAACCCTCAACAAAATAGGGATAGATGGAACATACCTCAACATCATAAAGGTCATAAACAAAAGACCCACAGCTAATATCATCCTCAATGGGGTAAATTGAGAGCTTTTCCTCTACGGTCAGGAATAAGACAAGGATGTTCACTCTCACCACTGCTATTTAACACAGTACTGGAAGTCTTAGCCTCAGCAATCAGATAATGAAAAGAAATAAAAGGCATCCAAATCATCAAGGATTTGGACACAACATGATACTCCATATAGAAAACCCAAAAGACTCCACCAAAAAAAATGCTAGAACTAATACATGAATTCAGCAAAGTCACAGGATATGAAATCAACAAACAGAAATCATTGCATTTCTATACACCAATACCGAAGCAACAGGAAAAGAAATCAAGGAATTGATCCCATTTATAGTTACACCAAAAACCATAAGATACCTAGGAATAAACCTAACCGAAAAGGTAAATGATTTGTATTCTGAAAACTATAGCACACTTATGAAAGAAATTGAGGAAGACACAAAGAAATAGGAAAGCATTGCATACTCATGGATTGGAAGAACAAATAAAATGTCTGTGCCACCCAAAGCAATCTACACATTTAATGCAATCCCTATCAAAATACCACCAGCATTTTTTAAAGAACTAGAACAGACAATGGGAAACAAACCATTAAGAGACTCTTCAAGACAGAGAACACACTGAGGGTTGCTGGATGGAGGAGGGTGGGGGATGGGCTACATGAGTGATGAGTATTAAGGAGGGCTCTTGTGATGAGCACTGGGTGTTGTATGTAAGTGATAAATCACTGAATTCTACTCCTGAAACCAACATTGCACTGTATGTTCACTAAATAGAATTTAAATAAAAATTTGAAGAAATAAAAAGAATGGGGACTTGAGCACATAAAAGCCTATTAGATTAAATGGTGATAATTTAAAAGGACCCATATTACTAGGTTTTCCAGTTTAGGCTTATTGGCAGTAAGTCTCAAGTCAAGGTTTTATAACTTTGTGAGTTCTGTTTATTGCAATACTTCTTCCATTTGTCCTATTTAAGAAGGAAAGAGTAGAGTGGGGCGGGGGGGGTCACATTAAAAATGGGAAAATGTTACCAAGATCAGGTGGCCCAAGTGTCTGAGACTTCAGTCGTCCCAGGGAGTCCTGCCTGCCCTCCCTTCTCTTGGTCCCACACACTGGAGAGAAGCTCGCCCCCTCACCAGGCTCCCTCCATGCTTGTAGCTCCCTCGTGCTAGTGTCCTGCTATCATCCCCTGGCTCTCCTTCCAGAAGAGCCACCCACCTTCCTCCTCATCCTACAGCCCAGAGTATCACTGTGTGGTGGGGACTTTGGGTCACCGAGAGGTGACATTTTCTTGTGAGCATACTTTCCCCACATTTAAGAAAGAAAAGGTGATTCCTATGTCTCCAGGATTTATTTCTGAAACTCTCTGTTTCAATTTACGCATGTCGCAGTTAATAAGTGTGATGCTAAGCAATTGAGGAGTGCAGCTCAGTTGAACAAAGCCCTACCCTCTGCCCCTCCTTCCCCCACATCCCCAGTGTGGGCTGGGCCCTCCCCTCCCCACTCCAGCTTGCATCCTTTCTCATCTACCCAGGAAATAAAGCTATTTCACAAGTTGTAAATATACGCTAATTTTAATGGCTTACTAGCAAACATCATGTGTTTGATGTTTCAGATTGTTGTTAACTTAGTTTTTCTTGTTGAATTATATACATGTGCTGTGCTCAACTTAAACATTAGAAATATCAAGGTTATTAATCTGCTTTTTTAACTTTTCAAAGAAACAACGCAGCCTTTTAAGCATTCAGAATTTTTCTTTTAATTAATGCATTTATGCTGCTGTTCTTCTGACACGAATTTAAACTTCAAACCTCTTTGTCTTCCCGTGCACAGGTGCTGCTCACATGCTCACACGTGTTTCACAGAGTGAGTGACCACGTCCCCCCGCCCGCCCAAAGTGCGCAGCGCGTCAGCCGCGTAGCTCTTACTCAAAGTCTCCTAAGAAGAACCACTCATTTTATCCATAATCACCACTTGGTTAGAAATCTGACTTGAGGCTACGGTACAATTCATCCTGTTTTGAAGATCACGAATTTTATGTGACAAAAGAACCACACAACTGTTTGTATAACACAGTGCTGTTAGTAATGCCCATCAAAGTGAGTGACAGCTGGCTTCCTACGACTTGACTGCACGGTAGCCTTCCACACTGGGATCATCTACCTTGACACAAGCGGTTTTCACAAGTTTATGATGTATCTGCCTGTATGTTCTTGTAAAATTTCATTTTTGGAACAAGTTTCATGAGGAAGGTGTTAACTGATGAAACTTCTTCCCTTTATAATCTAAATTGGACCGTCTCATAATTAAGAGAGAAAAGAACACTATAATTACATTAGAAGTAAAAATGTTATTTATAAGTAATTGCTTATAAAATTTTAAGTGAAATGTTTTTCTTCAGGCATGCCTCCAGGCTTTTGAAAAGTTCGCAAATAAAAAAACCTGCCCTCTCTGCAGAAAGAGCCAGTATCAAACCAGAGTGATTCACGACGGAGCCCGGCTATTCAAAATAAAGTGTGCGACAAGGTAGGAAGGGTCCCCCTCGCCCGCGGACACTCTGTGGCAGCGCCAGGTGATGACTCATTTTAAAGGAAGGAGGGATTTTGCCTCCCTCCTTGGCCACTGCCTCCCCAGGGCCTCACCCTGTTTTGAAATACCTGTTAAGGCCATTCTGAGTGAGTCATTTCAAACATCTGTGTTCTAGGATCCAAGCCTGCTGGAGGGGACACGTGGTCAGGAAGTGGTACCAAGACCTGAGGCGAAAGGTACCTCCCACAGATGCCAAGTTGAGGCGAAAATTCTTTGAAGAAAAGGTAGGTCAAGATCCTTGATTCTCTAATAGTATGTGCCCACCAGTGATTCACTGGGCTCAGGGAGGCCTGCAAAGGCAGTGAAGCCCAAAGACCCCCCTCATTTGTAGGCTTCTTACAAATGTTTGAGATGCTGCTAAAAACCCCATTCAACATAAACTGGCTTTCCAACCCAGGCAGTAAAATACTTCTAGATTTTCTTTTCTAGTTAAATCATAAAATTCATAAAATTGGAAGAAGATCAAATTCAAAACAACTTTGGTTTGGCCATTTCGTGACACTTACTTAAATAATCTCTTCAGATAAAGGAATGGATAAAGCTTAAGTTTTTCACATCCCCTGAACTGCATGTTAAAAATTTTTCATTTAAAAATAAAGCTCCCACTGTGCTACAGTTTTACCGGAGTGTCTCTTTGGGGCCTCACGGGGTCACCAAAATGTGAGAGTTTCAGAAATAAATAACCTCGGTTTCTACCCTCTCTTTCAACCCATTTTCTAGCTTTTGTGTTTATTTTTTGGCTTACCAGTTTTCCATCACTGTACCCCATATGAAAAGGATGGGTGTGGGAGAGCGAAGGAGCCAGCTGAGCCCGGGCTCCAGCCTCAGTCCTGCCCTCATTAGCTGGTGGCCCCAGGCAAAGCCTCCGTCTCCTCGTCTGTGACAGGACAGTAATGACCTGGACCCTGCAGCACTGCTCTAAGAATAGTGTGCGGTGGGCCCGTGAGATGCACGACCATTATGTCGGTATGTTGTCCGAGTTCACCTTTATGGTAACTGCTTCAGATTTCATCATAGTCCGTACTGTTTGTGACAGCACTGTATGAGAGAATGGTGTTCTGACGTCACGTTAGCTTTAAATCACGAAGATAAAACTCACAGTTGCACTTTCCTGTAATCATTGTTTATGGAAGTATCCCTTACTCATTTATTTAGATCTTCCCTACACTTACTTGTTTTGTGAGCCTACACTCCCATTTGGAATAATGAGTGATAGAAGATGACCCTTTATTGTATAAAGAGATCCCCTTTCATCCCCTTTCTCCCCCTAACTGTTCTGTCCTTCAGCATGTGAAGCCTAAGAGACCTCAGTCCTTTGCTCTGGGGGGAAGAGGCTGATGTTCACCATATGCTTCATGGTTTTAATCAGACTCCCAATCTGACCTTCTCGGGCTGAGGTGCTGTCTCCCTGTGCATCTTGTAACCTCACCATCCTTATTTGTGCCCTGGGTGAGAGGCTTCTTGAGAGTGCCCAGGACTGCATAGGGATCCTGAAACTAAGCGCATTTAGGCTCGACTCTCAAACAGGATGAAGCCAGAGTTTCCCAGTGCCCTTCCTGATCACTCAAGTAGTTGGTCCAAGCAATGCAGTCATCAGTGTGTGCAAGAGAAAATCGGGATATTGGCTGGTTGTGATGTCATTAAATCTCAGATTTAATTAAGAAAATACACTTATCTGCCCTCAAGAGTAGGACAACATTCAATGCAATATATGAATAAATAACCCTAAAATCCTGTATATCTTGAAGACAAAAAGACTGAACCACTGGTGGAAAGATGAGCCTGTATGGCAGGGCAGCCTGAGCGCTGGGTGGAGAAGCTGAGAGCGCTGCCCTGCCCTGCAGCAGGAGGGGTCCGCCCCAGCCGACACAGGTGCGGGGGCTCTGGGGGATGGACAGCACCCGCAGCAGTACCTGCTGGTCGCTGAAGTAGAGACAGGTGGGGGGAGAGCAGAGGCTATGGAGAGAGAATCTGCCATTCTACATGAGAATAAGAAAAACTGTATTTTCTGAGTCATTCATGCACCTTATGGCATGAATTGGGGAGCAAAGGATATTTAAGGAAAGGGGACAGAGTCCTAGTGAAAGCTCCCCTTCCCATTTCTGCTTGTGGGGTGGACATGAGAAAAGCTTTGCATTGTTGTTCAGCACCATCCATTTGACAGAAGAAACAGCAAATCCGCTATAACTCCTGAGAACTTATTGGATAAAAAGAATGTGTGCCACCTTCATCTTTCTTGGACAGTGAGCCTTTGCTCTAACTACTTAGAAAGTGGTATGCTGACCTCCTGTCTCCATCTCTACTCCTCTGACCTCTGTATCTGGTTTTAAAAAGTCCTTGTCTGTAGACCAAGATAATGGATTCAACCTAACTTGGAGTCTTCAATGCTACTCCCCATGGTAAACCTGTCTTTTGGGCAGTTTATCAATTCCTCAGCAACGTCTTCCTTCTCCATCAGAGACTGGTAGTCTCTTGAGGGGTCACTCACGTTCAAGTCAGTGAGCGACTGTGTCCCCGGTGAGTGTTCATCCTTCTCATACGCTCTCCTCATGCTCTCCTCTATTCTGTGGTCTGATAGTAATTGTAATACAATATTACTCCTAGTAATTCTAATGGAATACTGTCTTGGCTTTCAAATCAGAAATCACTGATTTTTTTCCTCTTACAAAATTTTAATTACAGATGACAGTCATTTTAGCTTATGTGTATAAATATTTTTTCATTTGCATACATCATCTTATTATAATTTTTGAAAATATAGGCTACACTCTGCTTTTACATAAAGCAGAGTTGTGAGACTTGACTGATTATATATCTACAGAAAAACACAAACACACAGACGTGCACACACACACTTGGTAAAGATACACACTGTAATTCAGATCATTCTTCCCCAGAAATATTGATTTAGTGTTATACTCAATTTGTTGCACAAATAGGCATTTTATAATTGCTTCAGCTATCTATTGTTTTAGTTACCTCTATAATCCTCAGCTCTCTCTGCTAGTTTTCTAAATGTTCTCTGCAATTTCTTCATTCCTTACTCTACTCACTTATCCCATTTGGCCATAAACATTGAAATCTATAAACCTAAACCTCATTTTATTTTTTTTAATCCACTTAGTTAACCTACGGTGTAATAGTATCAGATTAGAATTTAGTGATTCAACACTTCCATACACCACCCAGTGCTCATCACAACCAGTGCCCTCTTTAATCCCTATCACCTATTTAACCCATGCTTCCACCCACCTCCCCTATGGCAACCATCAGTTTGTTCTCTAGAGTTAAGAGTCTGTTTCTTGGTTTGCATCACTCTTTTATCCCCTTTGTTAATTTGTTTTGTTTCTTAAGTTGCACGTATCAGTGAGATCATGTGGTATTTGTCTTCCTCTGATTGCTTTTCGCTTAGCATAATACCCTCTAGCTCCCTCCGTGTTATTGCAAATGGCAAGATTTCCTTCTTTTTGGTGGCTGCGTAATATTCCACTGTATGTATACACCACATCTTCTTTCTCCATTCATCAGTTGATGACACTTGGGCTGCTTCCATATCTTGGCTATTACAAATAATGCTGCAATAAACATAGGGGTGCATGTATCCCTTTGAATTAGTGTTTTTGTATTTGGGGGGTAAATACCCAGTAGTGCAATTACTAGGTCATACGGTCACTGTAGTGCTGATTATTTCCTTCACTGTGCAGAAGCTTTTTATTTTGATGTAGTCCCAGTAGTTTATCTTTGCTTTTGTTTCTTCAGGAAACATATCTAGAAAAAGTTGCTATGGCCAACATCAGAGAAATTACTGCTTGTGTTCTCTGCAAGGATTTTTATGGTTTCAGGTCTCACATTTAGGTCCTTAATCCATTTTGATTTTATTTTTGTGTGTGGTGTAAGAAAGTGGACCAGTTTCATTCTTCTGCATGTTGCTGTCCAGTTTTCCCAACACCATTTGTTGAAGAGACTGTCTTTTTCCCATTGGATATTCTTTCCTTCTTTATTGAAGATTAATTGACATATAATTGTAGGTTTATTCCTGGGTTCTCTGTTCTGTTCCATTGATCTATGTGTCTATTTTTGTGCCAGCACCATACTTGTTTGATCACTACAGCTTTGTAATAGAGCTTGAAGTCTGGAATCATGATGCCTCCAGCTTTGCTCTTCTTTTTCAAAATTGCTTTGGCTGTTCAGGGTCTTTTGTGGTTCCATACAAATTTTAGGATTGCCAAACCTCATTTTATTTTTTTTTAAAGATTTTATTTATTTATTCATAAGAGACAGAGAGAGAGGCAGAGGGAGAAGCAGGCTCCCTGCTGAGCAAGGAGCCCGATATGGGACTCAATCCCAGGACCCTGAGATCATGACCTGAGCCAAAGGCAGATGCTTAACCATCTGAGCCACCGAGGTGCCCACCAAACCTCATTTTAAATAAATGAAGACAGGGCCTGGGTGGCTCAGTTGGTTAAGCATCTGACTCTTGACTTTAGCTCAGGTCATGATCTCAGGGTTATAAGATCAAACCTCATGTTGGGCTCCACGCTGAGTGTGGAGCCTGCTTAAGATTCTTCTCTCCCTCTGCCCCTCCCCCCACGCTGGCTCTTGCCCTAAATAAATAAATAATGACATCATTTACTGTCAGATAGTGTATTAGTAGTAGGTACATACTCTTGTCATTGTTCTGGTTGCCTGTATGGGTACATGCCTTACACAGCTGTCTTCCCTTATCCCTGGGGGATATGTTCCAACACCCCCAGTCGATGCCTGAAACCGCAGATGGTACCAAGCCCTGTATAGACTACGTTCTTTCCTATACATACATACCTATGATAAAATTCAATTTCTAAATTAGGCACAGTAAGAAATGAACAACAAATAATAAAATAGAACACTTATAACGATATACCGTAATAAAAGTTATGTGACTCTGGACTCTCTCTCTCAATATATCTTACTGTCCTGCACTCACCCTTCTTGTAATGACCTGAGATGACGAAATGCCCCCGGGATGAGATGAAGGGAGGTGAGTGACGCAGGCGTGTGACACAGCGTCAGCCTAGCCTGACCTTCTGACGATGTGTCAGGGGAGGGCCATCTGCTCCAGGACCATGGTTGGCAACGGGTAACCAAAACTGTGAAAGGCGAGACTGCAGAGAAGGGGACAGCTGTGTGTCTGAATGTCTATGTGGTCAGAGCCCAGAGGCTGTCCTTTCTTACAGAGACCACTTCTTAGTCATTTAGTGAATGGCTCTTGCAATTTAATGAATTTTTCCTACCTTTTTCAAACTCTCCTGCTGACCACTGGCATGGTCTAGGACATGTAAATCTATAATTTTAATTTATAATTTTAAATGCCAATGTGTTTTAATGAAATCTGAAACTTACTGAACTAGTCTATTGAATTTCACATTACCCAGGATTGTATAGATGCATCCAGACCATGTGGATATATACACAAGTGATAGTTTGTGGAGAACTTATATCAATAAATTAAATTACTATAAACTACTGGGTGAAAGATTGTTGAGGAATAGGATATTCACACAGTCTCAAAGTATCGATCCACACATTACATATAATTTACAAAGAGTATGATAAGTCTTTACATTGGAAAGGTCTAACAGACCTCTCAACCCAACAAATGAAATTACCAATAACTGGACAAATTGACACCATGTGCTCCTAATGTGCACGGAATGCACCAGAACAAAACATCACCTTTGTACTTCCATGCCAAAAATGCTTAATCTGAACCCAGTCAAGACAGCATGTGAGCAGGTAAATCCAAAATGAGGAATATCCTGTAAAACAGCTGGCTTGGACTATAAAATATCAATGTCATAAAGACAAAAGAAATGGCTGAGGAATGTTCTAGAATAAAGAACTCTGAGAACTATAAAATTAAGATGTAATGACAGGTCTTTG